GCTACTTCAGCATGATGCTCAGCGGAGCTCCGATCACGAAGGACCTCGTCCTCAAGGGATCGAAGAACATCACGAGTCACCGGACGGCGGTCAACCCGGTCGTCGCCGCCTGCCACCGACTCTTCTCGATGAAAACGGTGACGTCCACTATCACGTGGAACGTCTTGTTGGACGACGTCATCCCCAGGGTCAAACTCAATATCTGGTGAAGTGACGGGGATTTCCCGACTCCGAAGTTTGAGGCGCCACTTCGGCAAGAGTGCCCAGTCACCGTGGACGCTTTGGATCGGAAAGATCAGGACGTCCCGCGTCATCTGACGCCCCGCGCTTCCCGACAATAGCCAGGGAAGAAGACGGGTCATGAGCTGAGCTTAAGCAGTGGCCTTAGCTCTTGCGGTCGAAGACATAGAGCTCGCGGGAGCATTAGGGGTTTTTACAGGGCGACAATCCGAAGGAAGCTGACGGCGTGTCTTGAGTTTGGCAAACTCAAAGCGTAGGTGTCGCTCCTCACGCACGTCAACTACAGGTTATGCATTGCGGAAAGTTTCCGGTGCCGTCGCACCCATCGCTCAAAGAGCGCTTCGTCATCTGTAGCGCTTTCGCCAGGGCGAGCACTACAGGTAATGTCCGCATTGCGGGTACACGAGAGCCACCTCGTTGAGCACGTAGACGAGTGCGATAAACGTCTAACGGAATGTCTTGTGGGACCAAGAAACAAACTCAAAGAGGTTTCCGTTATGTAAGCTCATCGTCCGTTCTGGCTGGGTGTCCGATGATGTGGACGCGTAACGATCGAGTTGCCGCGTCTTTTGCTTCCAAAGCGGGATCCGCATGGCGGAAGCCATATTCCACACGAAAGTCAATGACCGAGCGTGGATGGGCGCGCTTTAGTGGCGCCTTATGAGCAGCTTTAAGCTGCCGCCTCTGTTCCCGTCAAAGTCATTGGTGATTACTCCTCAGTTGACGAGAAGTTAGGGAACGAACATGGTGTCTGCAATGCGCGAGCAGGGTTCGTATCACGCTGGTGGTGCAGCTCGTCTCCCTTATCATCTTGTGCGGGTAAAGGGGTGACAGAGTCATAGTCGACCAAACCCACATCATCAACGAGGTCGTTCGTTACTGATAGCGTGCGCGCACCGCGACGCTTGTGCTCGTTGAGCCTAGGATATACATCCCTCGGTGCTGCGGACGCACTGTCCGATGTTGCACCGAGCGCGGAAGACGAAGTTGGGCTCAGCCCGTGCTCGCCATCAGAGCCAGCAAAACTTGGAGATTTTGGTGTCATTGGCACAGGGTTCATTGAGCAAGAAAGACGATTCGATAAATTGCAGTGTCTAGCGGACACGCGAGTCTTGTTGAGGCAATATTCGATTGAAACTGTGAATGTTTTCAATCTTAGTGGGGGTTACACGTACCCTGGTAACAGGGGTGTTTGTCACACGAGATGTGCATGGTGTGACCACACCCAAGCAAGAATACGGTACGGGGCTAGGTAGCCAGTAGTTATGCATGTATTTAGATTAAATTGTATCTATTTAGTATATTTATACAATCAAAACTTTTAAAATAAGGCGGTTTAGCCGCAAATAAAAATAAATAAAATAATTTTGAAATCA